TGGGTATTTGACCCACCTGCTGAACATTGCCATGGTACGGTTTTGTGTCCGAAAAAGTGAGAATGTGCAGTACAGTTCCGCAATATCTTATTCCTGTTCAAATATAATATACCTTTATCATTTGATAATTTCCAGTCTGCTCGCCAGTTTTTTACACAACCCTAATCGATACTTAATTCAAGTATAAAATTCGGCCCATCACTGGTCGTCAATGTAAATTTTGCAACTTGCGAAATTATTTACGTCATCGCGAACTGTCTAAATCCATTGTGTTTAGGTGTATGTGACAGATCTTGACGTGCTCTTTCAGATTACGTCCAACACATCGCTATAGGATATATACTTCATGAGGAATTCACGAAAGAAAAAAGGAAAAAATCGGCCCATCACTGGTCGATCACGTTACCATGGGTACATAACCTTGGATCAATCAGTCTTGTACATGAGACATGGTGATACGAATATGTGACTCGGTGCATCGCACACATCCAAGAAACTTGAATTGCACCTGAACATGTCAAGTGTGAAGGTGGTGGCCATTTGGAATACGAGGTACGAGTCGAGCGACAGAGTCGTTTAGGTACTGGCCCACAGTGTCGTTGGAAGGCGACGCCAACGAAGGGGGGGGGTCACATCAGTGGAACCAAGCGCAGTTTCCACGGCTGAGCTTGGTTCCACTGATGTGACCCCCCCCCCTTCGTGGCGTCGCCTTCCAACGACACTGTGGACCACCTTGGAAACAACTGCGAACTGAATTTTTTTACTGATACAGTACTGTACGTACAGCATTCAGTCGTCGTCTTGGATCTGCGGCACCACTTGGTGGCGGATCGACGCTCGTCCACGAGCACAGTAGCATACTCTCGCGATTGCCGCCGTGTTTCGTTTAGGTACCATGGGTACCCCGGCGTTGTCATGGAAGGCAATGGGGCAGCCGCGTCGAAGTGCTGGCTTGGGTGCGATCCACTTCTTGCCAGCAGCGACACATTGCGCCACGTCGAGAACATACAGAAGCGTTCAATGGTTTCGAAAACGAACAAGTCTTCTTCCACGAGTATATATATATATATGTACTTCGAAGTACATGTTACCTGAAGGGCTGCTTGCACCCATTGCAACATCGTCTCCCTCTCCACAACTGCGATACAGTACCGGTTCTGTGTCCATGAAACTCAAGCACGAATGCTGCGTCCAAGGGGGTCAGCCTTCGCCCGACGGACGAGGCCAAGTCGTCGACCAGCGGGCAGCGGGTCGCCGTGACCCCGTGCGTCGGGTTGTTCCACCACATAACTCCATGGTCCAAGAGCACAAATATGAATTCGATGCACGTCCACCCCCCACCACACCTACGTACCTCGGGCGCGTTTGGTCATCCTGGGGCCATAGTATAAGCCTACTTACTTTCTTTTTGCATGGAAATCTCTACTCAACCCTCATGTATGTGTGTCAGTCACCCAACGCGAGCACCTTCCCCACGACCCGGTCACAGTAACTCCAGTCACCTAAACTTGGCTACTGTACATCAAGACGATACGTTTGCTATCCGTCCGACCTACGGGAGTTGCTACCCGTCACCTACATCACTGTACTTCACACGCCTCTCTCTACGACGCAACTTGATATTGAAATGAAACAGCTATTTAGGGAGTGTGAATATACAAGTAGTTGAAAGGGCACGCAACCATTCAAGTAAACGACCAAGCCAAGGACGATGACTGCCAACGATTCCCAAAGTGCTTTAGCCAGCCCCACAAGTAATTATATGTACAGTACAGTACTGTTATATGTATAGTACTGTACACATATACAACTCTACCCATTAAACGAACGAACGACAGCCTACGTATGTATGCGGTTTCGAGAGAGTGTTGATCATTTGGACCATTCAAGCAGTTTACTCGATGCAAGCACTTGCTGGAGCACCGCATCTTGGTGGGGCTGAAGGTCCTGCCCTCCTCTGGCCCGGGCTTCGTACAAGAGTGGGTCCTTCACTGTCCCCTGCAGGCCCAACAGTGCCTCGATCACAGCGGCACCACAAAATGGCACGTAAAAGTCGCTGTACCCCCCTTCGTGGCAAAACACGAGTCGGCCGCTGCAGATGTCGGACGCCGCCGTGCGCAGCGCATCCGCCATTTGGCCAAAGCATTCGCTCGAGACCATCATGTTGCCCAGGGGATCCATGTAGGACGCGTCAAAGCCCGATGAGACCAAGATGAAGTCGGGCGCAAACGCATGTAACGCCGGGAGAACGACCCGCCCCATCGCGCTGTTGTACGCGCCCGTGCCAGACCCAGGCGGCAACGGGATGTTGATCGTGTACCCTTGTCCATCCCCCGTCCCGATTTCCTATTTACACAAGTCGAGGCATAGCCAAAATGTCAATTCATAGCCAAAAATGCCAGTTTATGACCAATAAATGTGTTAATTCAAGGCAAAAATGACACTTTACGTGAATGTGCCCGCTGTCCAACGGGTAGTTGTTTGCTTGGTGGATGGAAATGAACAATACGCGGTTATCGGCTTCAAAGGACGCTTGGGTGCCGTTGCCATGGTGCACGTCGTAATCGACAATCGCCACCTTGCGAACGGACGACGGATACGTCTGCAACAGGTAATGCGCGGCAATGGCAATGTTATTGAAGATGCAAAACCCCATGCCGATGTCACGAAGCGCGTGGTGTCCAGGAGGTCGAACGAGGGCGTACCCGCATGTCACGTGCCGATCCATCACGGCGTCGACCAGCGCCAGCACCCCACCCACCGACAAACACGCAATCTCGTACGCGCCTTGGGAGAACTGCGCCCAATCGCCAGCGTCTCCGCCATTCGGCAGCAAACTCTTCTCTTGGATTGACTCGATGTATGCCCTACCATGGTTCAATTCCAGCTCTGCCTGGGTCGCTCGACGAGCCCTCACGACTTGCAGCTTGTCTAGGAGGCCGGTCGCCGCCAGCAGGCCATGGAATCGCCGTTTCGTCTCGGGGCTTTCCCACGGCGCAAACGGCTGCGTGTGCTCGGACAGACCTGGCCATGGAGCGTGCCACATAAACAGCTCCTCGAACACATACCCCACACGGCCGTGAGGGTCGTTGATCGAGGACATGGATTATGATAACCGTGAGGATCTTTGATCGTAACATGACTCAGCAAACACATTCCGGATACAGTATCCGAAACTTATGACATTTGCACCAATCAGAAGGTAGCACATTTAAATTTTGCGCAGGGACCGACGCAAACGTCCATGGCGGCGGCATTGCACTGGGAAGAGTACGCAAAGCTGCGCATTCCGCTGTCCAAACGGCTCAAGGAACATGCGACAGATGACAAGTCACTTGCGGAGCTGGAAACGTTAGCGGAGAATGTGCTGGACAGAATGGACGCGATCCCTCGTGATCACCTTGACAACCCAGAATGCTACGACGACCTGCGGATGATGCACAGAGAAGAATTGGGTGAGTGATGGCATCATCCACGAAGTAACCTTACGTGTTCGCCTAAATAGGTAGCATTCGTGCCGAGCGCCGGCGCAGCGGATGTCCTAGCCCATTGACGCAACCCATGGACTTCACGTTTGACTTCGCCCAGATCACATGGAATTCATGCAATCAAGCCAACGCTGTTACAATCGACGATGTCAAAACAGCATGTCCCGAACTCTTCGTAAGTTGCTTGGATCATGGTCAATAATAAGTTCCATCGAGCTACCGTATGCCTAAACGTTCATTTAGGTGAAGACAACACGACAACTCACCCAGCGGGTTCAACGAATGACTGTGTCGTCGGCAGCTCGGCATCCGGTGCAGCAGTACTCATCAATTGCTGAAAGAACTCCAGTTGCGCAGCCATCTCCTCCATCCGCCGCCCCACGTCCATCCATGCGCGCCTTTCTCCCCAAGAAGTATGACCTGCCAAACCCGTCGGTGGCGAAACATGACTTGCCTTCCCACGATATGGACGATGCCGCCGACGACAGCGATCGATTCCATTCCATGAAGCAACCTTCTCGTGGCCGACCCCAGCAGCAGCATCGGAATGCCAATCCGTTTCAAACGGCGGGTGAAAAGCTCGAAGTCTGTCGCTCCAATGTTTGAGCTCCATATATCCTCACTACGAGCGCTGTAGATTGACAAGAAATCTGGCCAACACAAAGACAGTCATCGAGGGGCAACTGTGGGCAAAGCTCAACCGAACCGAAGCCACTCGTACCACCCCATCAACCCAAACGTCCTGATGCAAAAAAAGCAAAACTCACCCCCGCGAATTCACAAACCATTCAACCCTCCAGACGGATCATCTGCTGGTCGAAAGCCCCATGATTCTGGTAGAATCCCATCATGAAAGCGACCTGTTATTGTCATATTCTGGCTCATCCAAGTGAATTTGGAGTAGAGCCACCTCCTGCTGCAGACGACCCAGCCGACGACGTGGACCCGCGCCTCAAAAGCTGTGATCCAGAGTTGATTTCCAAGATCGAGATGGAGATTGTGGATGCGGGCGATCCCGTCTCGTTCGACGATATTGGTACCGCAATATTCACAAATTCTTGGAAATCAACTCTATTGTTCTTTGTTTATGATGTGATATACATGATGCGTGCTTTGCCTGTGTAGCTGGGTTGAGCTTTGCCAAAAAGTGCGTCAATGAATTGGTGATTTGGCCCATGGCGCGCCCAGATATCTTTACGGGGCTTCGCAGCCTTCCCAAAGGTATTGAGATACATTGTAATTGAATAGATTTGTTTAAATCAAACTGATCGTAGGACTGCTACTCTTTGGCCCGCCTGGAACGGGAAAGACGCTGATTGGGAAGGCGATCGCAACCCAGTCCGGCGCCACGTTTTTCAGCATCTCGGCCAGTTCCTTGACCAGCAAATGGGTACAACACGAAATAGATTTACATTACAAATAATCAATGAAATAGATTGGAGAAGGCGAGAAATTAGTGCGGACGTTGTTTGCCGTCGCTGCTGTGAAACAGGTGCAAATTACACCCATTGGCCAATTCGATCCCGTTTTTTTAATCGATATGTGAAGCCGTCTGTGATTTTTATCGACGAAATTGACTCGCTCTTGAGTCAACGAAGGTATGTACGTACCATCTATATATATATATATGTACCATCTCTAATATTATACTAGACGATCACAACCTCCTCATATGCTTATTTCCATGTGATAGTTCCACTGAAAACGAAGCGTCAAGACGGATGAAGACCGAGTTCTTGGTGCAGTTGGACGGCGCAGGCACCAAGTCCAAGGACATTATATTGGTTGTGGGTACGAGATACTGTACATATCTCATTTATAGCACAATGTTGAATTCCCTACTATAGTAATACTAGTACGAACGCAGGGAATTATAACTAGGCCACTCGTGTAGGAGCAACGAATCGACCGCAAGAGCTCGACGAAGCCGCGAGACGCCGCTTTGTCAAGCGGCTGTACATTCCGCTGCCCTCGGCCGAAGCGCGGCTGGATCTCATGAATCGGCTGCTGGCCAAGAACCAGCACGACCTCACCGATGCTGACAAGTCGCACATTGTCCAGCGCAGCAAAGGTTTGCCCCATCAAAAATGTCTTGGCCGAATAAGACTGGTGTTTGCAGGCTTTTCCGGGGCGGATGTACGGTCGTTGTGCACGGAAGCAGGTGCGATTGTGTTGCTTGTACAAGTGTGACCCCGTTGGAATGTCATCTTTGGTTGGATGGGGTAGCAATGGGGCCCATCCGGAATTGCGTCGACATTCAGACGATGCAAGCCGACGACGTTCGCCCCATTTCCCGACGAGACTTCGACGAGGCGCTGCGAGGGGTGCGTTGTTCAAATTGGGACTGAGTGCATGATGGACATCAATCAATCACTTGGGATTTTCTCATGTTTGTAGACGCGATCGAGTGTATCCGTCAAGGACTTGCAGTTTTACATGGAGTGGAATGCCGAGTTTGGAAGCTACCAAATCGACACCACCGAAATGGACGACGACGATACTGGCATTTGAGCAAGTTTCTGGCTCACGTTAACGTTGTTTTTCATGCAATGTGGCGCTTTATGTCCAAGTAGATGGCATGTATCATCATCGAGACTGTGTAATGTGGAGCAACATGGCAGTGGCATGTTAATACCGTAGGCGTTTGCACTCAAGAATACACTGGCATCTCTGGATAGTAAGGAGCAATTACTACTGTACGTTCTAGTAGTACTATTATTAATAATAGTACCAATGGTACAGTACTATTAATACGTATTTGTACATGACATACTAGTACGGCTATCGTTATTATTTTATTAATAATAGTAATATTAATAGTATCATTATACAGTAGTATTACTACGTAGTAGTAGCTTATATACTATTGTGCTTTTCATCTAGTTTGCCCGTTGTTTAAAATAATATAAGCCCGATTGAAGATAAAACAACGCTAAACACAAGTTCTGCATTTCAGCAGAATAAAACAACCCTTACTTTATTTCAGCTGCTAACTAATCGAGTTGCAGCACCAGGCCAACTTATGCCGTACAACCACCAGTTCATCACGATGCATACCGTATTAGAATGTGAAATGGGAGTACTATACATCGTGTAGTCGTAGTGCGCCCTTGCCTTCCACGTACAGTGCTAAGGTTAGAGCAGATCAAGAATTGTAGATATGGCATAGCTTTGAATCATTGGACAGAGCGACAACTACATGTACTGTAGCCTAACTATATCCCTAACGTTATATAATATTACTCGGAGTAGATAATGTTAGTACTGTAGTGATCACGGATGGGAGGTCATGTATATGGCCATAGCTGCTTCAGTTTCATTGCGTCAAGCACCTTGACATGTTGACGTAAAGCAAGTTGTTTGCTAGAATGAAAACGGCAAACAACTTGTTTTACGAAAGTGCCAGTAAAACCACCTTCAACCAACCAATCATCGCATTTGATGAAGTAACTTTAAACAACGCACCCAACCGTTATTCAAGTTACTTTAGACATTATTTAAGCCTGAGAAATTTTTAAACAATGAATTTAACCCTGGAATTGCCAAAAAAGGTGCAAAGCACAATACTACGTAGTAGTATTATTAATACATTCCATGACATGACATACAGTACTAGTAGTAAGCTATCGCTAGTACTACTACATTGTATTAACAATAGTAATAGTATTATTATACAGTAACGTTAGTATTAATAGTACTGGAGTAGTACAGTAGTAGCTTATATCTGTATCCTAGCAGTAAATCAAAATGGAACTGGACATGCTAAGTATCGTACAAAGAACCAGCTCGAGTCCTTTAGGCGCGGTGGTCAAATGTATCGACGGAGCTGCTGCTTAGTGCGATCTTGTCGCGTCGTTTCGACTCGAGGTTCTCGCGGTACGTCGCATAAACACGCGCGCAACTTCACTTTGCCCCGATCTGGCAATTTGAGGTTTTTGCGATGGCTGGGGGCTCAATCTGGTTGACACTCATCCTCGTGTCGTGGTTTGCAGCGCTTCACTTCACCGACCCCACGACTGCTGACATCGTCATCATTGGCGGCGGCCTGGCGGGTATGCACATCTACACACATCCATGATTCATCGCCTTCTGTGCATGTTGTCATATCGTCGTGTAGGCATGGCCGCGGCCTTGGAAGCGCTTGAAGCCAATGCTTCGTTGCGCATTGTCCTACTTGAAAAGGAGCCCAAAGTGGGCGGCAACTCGGCCAAGGCGTCGTCCGGCATCAACGCGGCGCAGTCCAAGGACGACCTCGACGCGTACTTGCAAGACACGTTGAAGTCGGGCGGCGGGTTCACCAACCCTGTTCTGGCGCAGACGTTGGTCGATCAAGTATGTTGTCCACCCTGCGACACCATCAGCCCCATAGTACTCATGCGATAACCCATGTATCGCTAGAGCTTGGACGGCATCCGGTTCCTTGAAAGCAAAGGCGTGGACCTGTCGGTGCAATGCCAACTGGGCGGCCACTCGACGGAGCGCACACGGCGCAACAAGACCGGGCCGAACGTCGGGTTCGCCATCACGTCAGCGCTCAAGAAGGCGATCGACGACGCCAGCAGTCAGATTCAGATCGTCACCGGCGCCAAAGTGACCAAGTTGGTCGCGTCCGACAACGCCGTGTCGGGGGTCGAGTACCACGTGGACAACCGCGACTTCACCGTATCCACCCCCGCAGTCATCTTAGCCACGGGTACATGACCATCCCCCATGCATCTCCATCGCGACGACTCCGTTGGTAACCTCGAGATATATAAACAGGTGGGTACTCGGCCAACACGGCGCTGCTCAAGACACTGGCGCCTGGCATGGAGGCATTTGCGACGACGAATGGGCCGTGGGCGACAGGCGACGGACTGGAGCTGGCCACGGGCGTCGGCGCGGCGCTGGTCGACACGGACAAAGTGCAGCTGCACCCCACGGGGTTCATCGACCCGAAAGACCGCCACAAGTCGTACGTCCGCTTGAACCTCTCCAAAGTGTCTTGTTGACATGTGTTTGGTAGGACTCGGTTCTTGGCCCCCGAAGCCCTCCGCGGCGCCGGCGGCATCTTGCTCAACGTCCACGGCCATCGGTTCGTGAACGAGCTGGCGACGCGCAAGGAAGTGTCGAACGCGATGCTGGCGCAGCCAGAGAAGCGGTCGTTCTTGGTCTTGCTGCAGACGGACCAAGTGCAGGCGGCGTGCCAGGCGCTGGGTCTGAGCTTTTACGAGAAGATTGGACTGGTCAAGGTCGTTCCGACGTTGGAAGCGTTGGCCCAAGTCGTGGGGGTGCCCCAGTCGGTCTTGGACGCCGAGTTCGACTCGTACTTGAAGGCGGCGCGGGGACAAGCCGCGGACACGTTTGGCCGGACGGCGTTTGCTAACGTCACGGAGTTGCGCCCGATGTTTGTGTTGGAAGTGGAGCCCGTGGTGCATTATTGCATGGGTGGGTTGAAAGATACGAAGAGTGTGTAGAGATACGATGTGGACTTGTTGTAGGGGGCGTGCAGATCAACGAACATGCCGAAGTCGTGCTGGGCAACCACACGACGCCCGTGAAGGGGCTGTATGCTGCGGGCGAAGTGTCGGGCGGACTCCACGGCGGCAACCGCTTGGGCGGCAATTCGCTCACCGAATGCGTAGTCTTTGGACGGCTGGCGGGCCAGCGGGCGGCGG